TAACAATATTCAATGCTATATAGGGAAAACAATATATTTATTTACCAGAGAGAGAGAGAGAGAGTCGCACAGACCAATCAGTGGAGGTGGGGCCTGTGGCTCTGGGCTTTGCTGAGGCCTTGAGGGATGGTTGGGGGATATTGGAAGGTGGGTGGGAAGTGGAGGGGATGATTGAGGTGGCCATGCTGCTGTCCAAATCTTCGGACTTTGGTGGGTTGGGGAGAGGCACAGGATGTGCTCTTGAGGGTCTAGGATCTAAAGAGCCTGGCTATCCAGCTGGGACCTCAGACACTCACCTCTTCCTCCAGTCGTTACAGGTGGGGCCTGTGTCTCTGGTGGCCACTGATGCTGTGGGGCATAGCTGGTGGTGTGTGGGCAGAACTGAGGGTGGAGGATGTTGCTGCCTGGTCGCTGGGGCTCTTGTTTGTATTTTCACAGACTTCATTAGGAGGTGTCTCCATGTCTTCTTTGATGTCCTTTACCAAACTTCTAATTGCTATTTAGAAGTCCTTATTTGTGCTTCTGCTAAGTTGTGTTTCTCAGGGCTCGGTGTAATAGTTTCCGGGTTCTCATGGAGTCACGATTGCTTTGGCTGCTCATGTTTATGCTTTGTGCTGGGGTGCAGGCATCTGGACTTACCATGTTTGAGATGTTTCTTGGTGTTGGTGTTTGGTCTTGTCTTCATTCTGTGGGCGTTCCATTCCTTGGTTGTGGTTGCCTTTCCTGGATCCTAGGAACGTGTGGTGGCTCTGGGGTCCCTGGTGGAAAGTGCTTTCTGCAGATCAGTGGGTAGCAGAAAGGAATGGAGATGCCTAGGAGGAAAATGCTGAGAGGGATCCTGGCAAAGAGCTAGGGGGCATTGTATTCACTTCGGGAAGTGGAGCCCCCAGGGAATGTTGGTGTGGTGGAAAGAGGAGCTCCTGGCAAGCAGGCTGCCGGGACCACACCCTCACCCAGCCCCCTGCTTTAGCGGCCATGACAGGCTGCAGAAAAGACCCAGCAAAACAAAAGGCCCCAGACTCAGCAACACACGCTGAGCTTCCCGACCTTGCCGACTAGGAGATCAGATGCCCTCCAAGAGTCAAGGAACCAATCAGAAGTTAGCTGGCGGACTCTTGATGTACTTTATGGTAACGATGATGTTCATAGCATAGCAACTGCCCTGGGAGGGCCTATAGGACATAGCAACCAGTTGAGTAATCAACATAGGAGAGAGTTGCCCAGGCCTGGAAGTGCACCAATCCTGAGACTGTTGTGTACCCCAGACACTGCCCTTACACACCCCCAATAAATTCCCCGACTCCGTACCCCCCTCCCATGGGTCCTTCTCACTCCACCCACTGTGATGAACCAGATGAAGGGCCCAAGTTAAGACAGGCAGCGTGTGAAACAAATAAATGTAATAAATATGTTATAGATCTGTTTATGGTTGTTGTGTCTGCACATGTCTGTGTACCACATGAGTGCAGTGCCTGCAGAAGCCAGAAGAGGGCAATGAAGGGATCAGTGGTGGCCCTGCCCCCGCCCCCCACTCCCCGTTTTAGCAGCCATGATGGGCTAACATGTGCTTGCATGACCTTGCTGCTCCTGTCCTGGTCACTAGGAGGTCAGATGCCCCTGGTGTGCTTAATGGACACGTGCACAACAGTGACATGCAGAGCATAGCAACCATCCTGGGAGGAACTATAGGCCATAACAACCCGTTACCCAATCAACATAGGGCAGGTTGTCCAAGCCTGGAAGTGCACCAATCCTGAGATTGTTGCATACCCCTAGACACTCCCCTATGCTGCCCTATAAGATCTCCACCTCGTGATTTCTTGGGGTCTTTTCTCCAGCCATCCACTGAGGTGGATGGATGAAAGGCCCGAGCTAATGGGGTTAGCTCATTAAACAACTACGATAAAAGACTCTTTGCTTTTGCATCGAAATGGGCCTCTTGGTGATTGTGGGGTTCAGAATTTGGGCACAGCAGGCAATAGATGGCCTTGGAATTGGAGTTACAGATGGTTGTGAGCCACTATGTAAGTGCTGGGATTTGAACTCTAGTCCCTTGGAAGATCAGTGCTCTTAATGGCTGAGCCATATCTCCAACCCCACAAAAAGTTTTTTTTTTTTTGAAGGCTATAGCAAGAGCTCTTGCACATCAATGGTGGCTTCTGGACTCTCAGTGTTTTCTGGACTTAGCAAGTGCCTCTAAACTGTCATCTTAGCTCTTGCCTCAAAGAAGTCTAGACCAGGCACTTCTCCAAAGCTGTGAGTTGGCTTGCATCAACTTCCAGACCAGAGAAAAAGGACAGGCCAAGAAGCAGCTGAGTATGCTGATGAAGCACGCAAGGAAACAGACCAAAGAACAAGCCAGTGGGGAAAGTTCGATAGAGCAGAAGGCCAGCAAGCGCCACCAACCGTGGTTTCAGAAGATGTCAGAACTGATGGCTGTTTAGCAGTTTCCTCCTAGAATAAAACATCCCATCCTGAGGAAAAGCTCATAAGACAGGAAGCACTCAGCTCAAAATAGCTTCAGGATGTCCCTGAAACCAACCAGAGTCACTAGGTCCCTCCCTCCCCAAGTGTGTGTGTGTGTGTGTGTGTGTGTTTGAATAATGAATGCACCTCTCAGACAAGCCAACATACAAGGAAGACTCTCAGACAAGTCCAGATGCCTGGAAGAAGCAAAGAGCTGCGGAGCCAGCGGGAAAGGACACTGTTCAATGCTGAGCTGCCTGCAGGCGGCAATGCACTCCAGCCTCCTCTTTGTGACACCCATGCTGTGGCAGGCTGCCGGAGACCTTTTAGGATGTGTGGAGTTTGGGGGGAAGGAGGAGACACAATCTGAGGGTGATTCCAGCAGCATTTAATTGAGAAAGGATCACACTTTTTATTCTGTATAATTGCACATAGGTTTAAAAGGGAGACAATGGGCGTGTGAGCCGGGGTGTGGTTTGGGACCAGGGGTTGAGGAATCTAGCACTGACCTTGACAACAGGCATCAGTCACATGTTAATGAAGGGCCACATGTTCCTCTTGCTAGAGATAAGGAGAGTGACTGCTTTATCGAGCAGGAACTTTCCCCAAGCCCTAAGGGAATGGAGACCCTTATCTAGAAGTCTTAATGTTTTTTTCCCCCTCATAATGGTCCCAAAAGGGAAGGTCCTGATGTCTTAGTCTTTTCCCACTATACCGTACCATTCTGATTTCTCTGTATTTATTAACTGAACTCTTGTCCTTAATGGCCTCAGACTTGGGATCTGAATTGTAGGCATCAGGTGTGTCTAATAAATCTCTAAGTTTTTTGTTCTCGGTGTAAATAGGAGGGCACACTGGAATTCCTGTTTCCATGGTGGCAGGGATTTTTTTTTCTCCAAAGAATTATTTTGTTTAGAGAGGTTATCATTGTACACATTTTTATCCTTTACCAAAGCCCGCACAGAATTTCCCAAAGGGAAGGGCATTAATATTGAGAATCTTTAAAAAGGAAAGTAAAAGGCGCTGGAGAAGTGTGGTCTGCAGTGTTGAAACGCCAGAACTTTGTCAAGCGGCAATGCGGTTCATGCTAGTAGCCTTTGGTGATGCAACTGTGTTTGAGTCATTTCCACACCTGTACGTCACTCCTCACTTATATTCCTTTAGTAGAACTCTTTGGTTCACCAAATTAGTTCATTTCATTGGTTCACCACATTTTGGTGGTGTCCATATGTTGTTTGGTTTGAGGTGGGGCCCCTTTCTGGGGTGAGCAGCTGCGTGTGCGGTGCATCTGCACAGGGAAAGCCTATCACACAGGTGCCCAAGTCCCGCATTTTAGGGTAGCCACATCTGCCAAGCATCTAGGTGTATTTATTTAATGTGCTCTTCTCCATGCAGAGGTCAGAGGACAACTTGTTGGAGTCAAGCTTGTGTAGTGAGTACCTTTACCACCTGAGCCATCTTTCTGGCTCCTGACTTTTTTGTTCAGTTTTATTTAATTAAACGACGTTTATTGTCCGATTTTGTGTGTGCTTTTGCACGGAGGTGCACAGGCACGCAACTGTGTGTAGACCCTAATGTTCTTGGCCCTCTCCTGCCACCTTGTGGTCTAACAAAAACTGCAAGGCCTCTACACCACTATGGACCCCTGGGAAGAAAAACTTTGGGATCTTTTAGTTTGAAGGAAGGTGAAGGGGTGGAGGTTCCTGTGTTGTAGTGCTTAGAATCCAATCTCAGACTCATTCGTCTGTACGCTGGGCCGAGATTACACTCTGTCTCCGTATGCAGGCAGTGGCCGGTAACGTGGACACAAATCCCTCTAACCTCCACCCCACGCCCAGAGCGGGTCTTACTATGTAGTCTGAATGACCTGGAACTTTCTGACTTTGAACTTACAGAAATCCTCCTGCCTCTGCCCTCTGAGTGCTGGAATTGGGGGTGTATGCTACCACGTCTGGATACGTTCTCCCTTTAAACCGCATTTTACACTTTTTGCGTGAGGACACGCGGGAGAGCCAGAGTACATTGTTGGAGTTCAGAAGACAACGTGAGAAAATAGTTTCTCCACCGTGTGGGTGTCCGAGGTTCGAACACAGATATTCCGGCTTGGCAGCAAGCGCCTATACGCGCTGAGCCACCACTCCGGTCCAAACTATTATTTTGACATTCACAAGTTCCTATGTAAAACAAGCTACTGGACGCTTTCCCTTCCGCTTCAGAGGCTCAGTGAGTTGGCAGCTGAGGCCAGTGCCATGCAGGCTTCCAGGTTATCCGCTGGAAGCAGAGAAGCCTTCTGAGTGCGCCACTATCTGATCCGGAAAGACGCCACCGTCTGATTCGGAAAAAGCTCTTCAGCAAATATGCTCCTATCCTGCTTGCAGCAGGAACGGTCGTACAGGACACTCAGCCAGAGCCAGCCGGGAGCCCCAAGAACCCGGTCTATCAAGCTCGTCTCAGAGCCGCTCTCGCTTTACCCGTCACTCAAGACCACGGGGGCGGAGCCTGAGCGGGGAGAGGACGCCGTCCAATGAGCACGCGCGGGTCGGCTCCATCGCGGGACCTGGGCTTCTCGCCCCGCCCCCTGCAGGGCATTTGACTGGGCCGCTGGCCGAGGATGCCCCGCCCCCGTGGAGCGGCGACCGTCACGGCTGGGCGCCGCCGGGACCGGGAGCCGTGTGGGCCGCGGACGGTGAGTGCGGGGTCTGGCGGTCCCGACAGACGGGGGAGTAGCTGTTGGAACCGGCTGGGGCCGGGCTCCGGCCGCCTCGTGCCAGGTAGGCGTCTGTGTCACGGACGCCTCCGGCTGCGCTCGGCTGGCTGCTTCGCTTTCGGCTCGGGCCGGGTTCGGCTTGTCCAGCTTGTGTCCGGCTCGGCTCTGCCCGGCTCCGCTCGGCTCTGTCCGCCCGGCCTCGCTCGCCTCGGCAGCTGGGCCCCGGCACCCCTCCGCGGCCCTGTGGGCCCAGGGCTGGCGCTGCCTTCGGTTTGTGCGGTGACGGGGGCAGCTGGTGATGAGGCTCCGGGTTCCGGTGCCAGTCCCCAGCCGGTCCTCGGTATGGGAAGCATCCACTCAGATGCTGAGGTCCGTCTTCGTGTGAAGTGAATCTGGGTTTGTAGGCCCCATTCCACTTCCCCAGTTCACAAAAACATCCACCTGCCCTTCATTTTACTTTTCAGATTGCTTACTTCCCACGGTAATGGGTGACACTCTGTGTCCTTTTAAAAGATTTGCTTTCACGGGCCGTGGTGGCGCACCCCTTTAATCCCAGCAGAGGCAGGCAGATTTATGTGAGTTCGAGGCCAGCCCGGTCTACAAATCTACACAGAGAAACCCTGTTTTGGAAAAAAACAAAAACAACAACAACAACAACAAAAAGATTTGTTTTCTTTCTCTCTCTTTTTTGGTTTTTCGAGACAGGGTTTCTCTGTATTGTTTTGGAGCCTATCCTAGAACTCACTCTGTAGACCAGGCTGGCCTCGAACTCACAGAGATCCGCCTGCCTCTGCCTCCCGAGTGCTGGGATTAAAGGCGTGCACCACCAACACCGGGCGAAAGATTTGTTTTCTAGTCAGGCATGGTGACTTGGGGACACCGATGGAGGAGTACCACAACCTCGAGGCCAGCCTGCAGGTCCCAGCAATCTCCTGTCTGTAGCCTGCTGAGTACTGGGGATGCGGGCTGATTTTCTGTTCCCTTCCTTTCCCCTCGCGTCACTCAGCTTCTCATACAGTTAAGAATCCTTTACCCTGCCCTGCGGGGGACACGTGGGTTGTCTGCAGTCGCCGCGTGGGAAGGCTGATCAGAGGAGGCTGAGGAGCACGCACCTCCGGCCCCGGGCTGCTGGGGTCCCTTGTGTGTCCTCGGGAGGCATGGCGGCGTGCCTGGATGGATGAGGAGTCAACAGGAGCGGACCAGCACAAGAGCGGAACTCTGAACCCAACCGAGTTTCCTCGACACTGTGTCTCCTAAGAGGGGAGGAGGATGTTCCCGTCTCTGCCCACCCTGACTGTCCTCATCCCGCTGGTCTCACTGGCTGGCCTGTTCTACTCCGCCTCCGTGGAGGAAGGCTTCCCTCAGGGCTGCACCAGCGCCAGCAGCCTGTGTTTCTACAGCCTGCTCCTGCCCGTCACCGTGCCGGTGTACGTGTTCTTCCACCTGTGGACCTGGATGGGGTTGAAGCTCTTCAGACATAATTAGTGCAGCGCCCTTGCACGGGAGCTTCCTGGACCTTGGTTCTGACCTCAAGGGTTTCAGATTCTGATGTCAGGGCTGTAGCAGAATAACATGTGGAATAAAATGTCTTGGGTGAGGAAGAACACCACCAGCCTTTATCCGAAGACTATTTCTTTTCGTTTTAAGCTTTAATTATGTGTCTGGATGTGGGTTTGTGCACATGAGTGTGGGCGCCCAGAGAGGCCACGAGAGTGTTGGGTCTCCTGAAGCTGGAGGTACAGTCACATGTGAGCTGGGAGCTGAATTTGGCTTCTCTGAGGGTAACAAGCTAAGTATGTGCTCTTAACCCCGGGCTTCATGCGTGCTCAGCCAGCACCCTACTAATAACCCAGCCCCTAAAGACTATGTTTTTGCCGGGCGGTGGTGGCGCAAGCCTTTAATCCCAGCACTCGGGAGGCAGAGGCAGGCGGATCTCTGTGAGTTCGAGGCCGGGCTGGACCGATAGCCTCCAAAACAATACAGAGAAACCCTGTCTCGTAAAAACCAAAAAAAAAAAAAAAAAGACTATGTTTTTATTCCATTCATTTAAATATTAGTCATTTGGAAGCTGGGCTTGGTGGCACATACCTTTAATCCCAGCACTTGGGAGGCAGAGACAGGGAGGCAAACGCCGTGAGTTTGAGGCTGCATAGTGAGACTGTCACAAAGATACTTAGGAATTTTGTTTCAGCTTCTAGGGATGATAAAGTCTTAGGGATGACCGAGAGCAGTTGTCGGAAATTCATTAGAGCTAGTGTGATAGGTAAAACTGTCAATATCTGGAAGCTCTTACTCTAGCTCTCAGTTTGTGACTGGCAGAAATGTCAGCAGTTTCTTGCATCAGCTGCTCTTGAAAAGGACCCAGTTCAGTTCCCAGTATTCATGTTGGTGGTTCACAACTGCCTGTAACTCCAGCTCCAGGGGATCCAACTCCCTCCTCTGGACTCTGGGCTCCTGCACACACATGGCATGTATACACATGCACACACACAAATTATTTATTATTTATTTTGGTTGTTTGAGACCGTTTCTCTGTGTACTTTTGGAGCCTATCCTGGCACTCACTTTGTAGACCAGGCTGGCCTCAAACCCAACCACTGGGATTAAAGGCGAGCGCCATCACTGCCCGGCCTCCTCGTTTGTTTTCTGTTTGCTGTGATAAAACACTGACCAAAAGCTTTTTGAGGGAAGAAAGGGTGTATTTGGCTTCCACTTTTGGATCCTAATTCATAGTTGAGGGAAGTGAGGGCAGGAACTGGAGGCAGGAACTGAAACAGACCGTGGAGGGGTGCTGCTCACGGGCTTGCTCCCAGCTCGCAGCCAGCCACCTTTCAGCCCGGTCTTACTCGCCCAGGGATGATACCACCCACAATGCACTGGGCCCTCTTGTATCAGTTAGAAATTAAAATGTGCCATGGGCATACTCACAGGCTGGTCAGAAAAGAGAGAGCAACTCCTTGAGGTTCCCTCTTTGTAGATGACTCCAGTCAAGTTGACAGAATTAACCAGCTCAGATTGAGTACGGCTCTGTCAGAAAACAAGTGCCGTAGGTGGCTCACTGTTGCCCGTAACTCAGTGCCCTCTACCCGCCTCCTCAGACAACAGCACCTGTGCACGTACTCAGGTACTGACACACGTATAATTAAAAATAAATCTTTTTAGGGAATGTCACTTGAGGAGAATCAGAAGTTCCAGCTGCGGGAGGGGCCGTGGAGGTGGGGGCTGCCTGCCCCAAACCTTCCCACGTCTGGGCTTGCCCTTGAGCAGTTTGCCGTAGTCCATCCAGTCTGAAGGTTGGGAGAGGGCAGACAGCCCCACCTCTCGTCAGATTGTGTGGAGGCTGATGGTCTGGGCAGGAAGAGCTGGTGTGTGGTGTCTGGTTGGCCCTCGTCCCCTCTGTCTACCCCTTTTCTTTGAGCTGTCCCCTAGCACAGAGAGCAGTCTTATCCACAGCGCTGTCCTCCCCTCTGGGCAGACTGAAGCCTTTTCTGCAACTGTTTGAAGAACAGTGAGGTACCTCTCTGCCATGGGAGAGGCGAGAATGGTTCACTGTGAAGTGCTGTGGGCCGGTGATGTATGTAAAACACCTGTGTGTGTGTGTGTGTGTGTGTGTGTGTGTGTGTGTGTGTAAACGCGTGTGAGCACGCGCGCATGTTTGTGATCCACAACTTCAGCAAGAAACACTATAGCAAACTAAACATCCTTGGCCCCTTGGGGCTAACATTCTAGAATTTTTTTTAAATCCAATTTGACGTTACCCAGCCAGGTTCTATTTGTTCATTTGAAACAAGTTTTGTAAAGACAAGAGGCGGTCAGATAAGAGATGGGAGATCAAAGTGTTCTTTGGCCTCCCCAGGGTAGCATTTAGAAGTACTTAGGGGGTATAGGAACAAGAGTTGAACGTGGAGTGGGAGGTGAGAAGGCATCTGAGGTCCAACTACACCTCGGAAAAGAGATGCTGGTGTGAGCAGAGGGTGGAGTTTTATGTTTTTGATCCCAAAAGTTTAGTTATCAGGTTCAGTGAGATGGCCCAGGGTGAGTGCTGGCTATGCAGGCCTGGTGACCTGAGCTAGTCCCTGGGGGCCGGGGTGGAAGCAGAGAACTGTCCCCTGGGGGCTGGGGAGATGGCCCAGTTGGAAGGGACACTGGCTGCTCTTCAGCACCTATGTAGCAGTTCCCAGCCATCTTTTTTTTTTTTTTTTTTTTTTTGGTTTTTATGAGACAGGGTTTCTCTGTATTGTTTTGGAGGCTGTTGGTCCAGCCTGGCCTCGAACTCACAGAGATCCGCCTGCCTCTGCCTCCCGAGTGCTGGGATTAAAGGCATGCGCCACCACCGCCGGGCAGTTCCCAGCTGTGGGGAGCCGCCCCCACATTCTCCGTTACAAGGTGGCGCCGACACCCGTTGTCAGTTGGAGTAAACAACCTTGGTGCGCACGTGCCTGCTACTTTTCCATCCCTTACTCTCTGCCTCTCCCGTGGCGTCATATGGGCTGACAAGCAGGAGCCAGTCAGGAGATGACATGTCCGAGGCGGGGACTGCTGAGCTATATAAGGGTTGGGCTTTCCGCTCCCCGGGTCTCCGCTCTGTAAGCTTATGCTCTCCCTCTCAAGACGCATTAAAGCTGTTCTGCAGAAGGATCCTAAGTGTGCCGCATACACTAAGGCATGCATACAGTGCACAGACACACATGCGGGCAAAATACCCATGCCATAGTAATAATAAAAGTATTATTTATTTGAAACATAGTATGTGTAGCCCTGGCTGGCTTGGAACTTGATATATAAACCAGTCTACCCTCAGACTCAGAGATCTACCTGCCTCTTCCTCTGGAAGGCTGGAATTAGAAGCCTGTACCACCATGCTGGGTCTTCTTATTCTTTTAAATAACATTGGTGGGGATCGAATCCAGGGTTTCTTGAATTCTAGGCAAGGGCATTGCCAACTGAGCTGCATCTTCAGTTCGTATTCGACATTTTGCAGGCCCTTAGTAATGAAAAGTTGGTGTTTTCCTTCTTTCTTTCTTTTTTTTGGGGGGGGGCTTTGGAGGCTGTCCTAGAACTAGCTCTTGTAGACCAGGCTGTTCTCGAACTCACAGAGATCCGCCTGTCTCTGCCTTCTGAGTGCTGGGATTAAGGGTATGTGCCACCACCACCTGGCAAGTTGGTGTTTTCTGAAGGGTTATTGGTCGACCTAAAAGCCTCAGGTGAACAAATAGAGAAACTTGAGACATGAAAGTTGATCTGCTAATGACATTTGCAGGTAGTTAGGAGCTGGGGCAACCCTTTCCTGGTAAGGTAACATACAGCCTAGAGACTGCAAGGAAACAGATCTGCAGATGGGATGTCCACCCTAAACTTCCCTTTGATTCTCTATGAAGCCCCAAGCCCCCGACCGCTGCCCTTCATTATTCTGATTAAAGGACAGTCCACTTCCGTGGAGGTCTGTCTTTATTTTCACCATCAATCCCGATCTAAAATTCTCAGCTAGTTTGAGATGGACAGAGCAGCTTCCTGGTTCCTGATAGATAACACAGGCCCTCTATGGATCCCATCACAACCTTTCTGTCAGGTGTCATATACCACAGAGCTAATAGGACCACACTCCTTTAGTGATCTGGGAACGCGCCCAGGGCCTGCCAGGTGACCTGGTAGCCCACGAATGAAATTCTAGTACTCAGGAGTTGGAGGCCAGCGCTAGGCTATAAAGATCCTGTCCTCTTACAAAAAAGGAGAGGCAAAAGGGCAGGGAACTGGGTGTAGCCCCATTGGTCAAGTGCTTGGCTGCCATGCACAAGGCTCTAGGTAACATCTCCAATACAGCATAAACCCAGCCAGGCATGAAATTACCTATAATCCCAGCCCTCAAGAGGCAGAAGGATCGGGAGTTCATGTTCATTCTTGGCTACTCAAGTTCATCGAGGCCAGCCTGGGCTATATGAGACCCGGTCTCAATCAAAAAAAGAAAAAAAGCTAGAGAGTTTACTTATGTTTCTCCTTAGCTGCCACAATCAGTTTGCGATGTAGGACCTAGAGGATGAGACAAGAAGTTATCCCTTTCCCCGCTGCCCTGGGTGAAGGGGCAGGACTGCAGTGACTGTCCAATGAGACGCGCCGCTGGAAGGGGCGGTGCGCCGCCTCGCAAAGCCTCCAAAGAGACGAGGCTCTTATTCGGGTGCATCTGTCCCTGTAGTTACCAGCTCCGGCCCTCTTCCTCCCTCGGTTCCCTGCTGTGCCCAGAAGAGAACCCGGAACCTGGTGGCGGGCGTCACTAGGACCTTCTGGGCAACGGGATGGTGAGTGAGTGCAGCCGGAGATGGAAACTGCTGCATGACGCACCCTTGCGTCACTCGGGAGTCTGCGCGGAGTTTGCTGCAGCTCCCCCCACCTCCCCCGGCTTCGGTTTGGCTCAGTTTGTCCAGGCTCCCGCTTGGTCCTGCTTTGGCCGCGCTTCGCCACGACTCGGCCTTGGGGTGGGCGGGGCAGCAGCAGGATCCCGGCTGTGCTGAGTGCGGGAGGAGCTGCCGTTTGTCCCCAGTCCATCCCTGCTCCCTAAGTGAGGGGCAGTTTCCCGTGTTGTGCAGTTTACTGGAGGTCTCAAATTAGAGACCCTGTTCCAGCT